AGGGCGTCGCTCCCCGCCCTTGCTGCAATCGCGCCCGAGGCACCTCCGCCCGGTCGTCCGCTCCCTCCCGGGTCTGAAGGCTGAGGCCACTCCCAGGTGCGGGCAGTTTTGCACCCAGGGCAGTGCAGGGCACGGCCGGGGTCCACGGCGCCCTCGCCAGCCCGGTAAGGATCGGTAAGTCCAGCTTCCCACCTCACCTGGAGTCAGCAGCCTCCACAAGGCCGGCGGGCCACTCTCGGATCCCAAGATGTCCGCCCGCCCCCTGCTCGCCTGTCCGCTGCCTCGGCTTTCACTGCAGTGCTCCCGCCCCGCCCCGCCCCGCCCTGATCTCAGCTGCGCCTGCGCACTTGCCTCCAGCGGCGACTACAAGTCCCGTCAGCCCCCGCAGCTTTCAAACTGCTAAATCAGAGCGCCCTAGGTTTAGCAAAACTACAACTACCGACGGCCTTCGAGAGAACCGACGCGAGCCTTAGTGCGTCTTGCTGGCAACACGCGTCATAGTACACTCCTCCCATTCATTTGCTTCATTGAGTATCATGGGAAGTGTAGTCTCTGCAATCCTTCCAATTCCTAGTTAGATTGTTTCGGTAGGCTTTGAGAGATCAAAGCTGTTTGTCCAAACCAGTTGTAAATTTTGAATTACTGTAGTCTGTAATTGTCTTCAGATTCCGAAGACTGGCTATCTTCACTTTACAAACAGAACTTGGCATGAGCCTGTTAGAGCTGAATTCTCTGCTTTTTAACACCAGGATTGATTCTCCCAAGGTAGGTGTCGATTACAATCATGACTGGGCCTCTCCCAGGGCTAATTATCCAAAGAGAAGAGTGGGGAGGGCAAATCTTGGCAAAGCTAATTCTTGGCAGAACTAGGTAACGCTTTTCTCAGCTAAACCTGTGACTATGTGTGCTGGTGGTGCACTCCTTTAATCCCAGCACTGGGGAAGCAGAGGCAGGAAAATCTCTGTGAGTTCGAGGTCAGCCTGGTCTACATTGGGAGTTCTAGGACAGCCAGGGATACATAAGAGACCCTGCCTCAACCCCACCTCAATTTAGTTGGGCATGGAATTAAGAAATTCCATCTCTCATGTTATCCAAACTGAGAGAATGAGGTGGAGCTAACCCTGGACACAAAAAGCCTGCCTGGTTCTTGCCAAATCAAGAAAATGTGGTTCTTGTCCCTCTGTAGGCAGAGACATCCTGTTGCTGAGCAGGCCCAAGACTTCTATATGGTGGAAAGGAATGGGGTGGGGTGGAATGGGGAAATCTAGTTGCTAATCTTACTATTCCTAGCAACCTCCTTCCAGAAGCCAGGACATAACAGGATGAAGACATGACATTTCTCAAAAGACTATCAAAAGGCTTTGGGACATTATTCAGTGATCAAAACCAGATACTTCTAACCCTTGAACCACCATTCAAGATTTCAAGTCTATCTTTGCAAAAGCTTTCCCTTCCCAACATACTCTAAATGTTTGCCAATTTAGAGTAAATTAGTAATGATAATAATAATAATAATAGCTACCATTTATTGAGCACCTACTCTATTGTGTGCCAGGCACTGTGCTAGGCACTTTTCGTACAATATCTAATTTAAATCCTCACAACAACCCTGTGAGGTAGGTATTATTATCATCATTTTACATACAGGAGGACTGAGGCTCCAGAGAGGTTAAATAACTATTACACAACCAAAAATGGTAGAGCTGGAATTCAAACCCAAACCAACCTGACTCCAAATCCCGTGCTCTGTAAATTAAGAAGGAGGAGAGGAACAGCTGAACTTCAGAAAGAGTGCCAGAGTGGAAGGGTGTGATATGCTGACTAATACCATGTAGGAAGAAGGAATTTAAGCCCATAAATGTTCCTGGCTGGTGGGCCTATGCAGATTGTGGTGAAAGTCACCAGGGCAGGGATTCAAGAGGAATAATACTGGGCTAGGGACATATGGACATGCCTCTGGAGATGTCCAGTGGGTAATAAAGAGATCTAAAGAGTGGGGGAAGCTGGGGTTGGAAATTCATGTTTAGAAATGGCCAGCATATCAAAAGCAATTGAAAAGAGAATGGATGACACTATTTTGGCAAAGAAAGAGCAGTGAATCAAAGATGGGATCATGGAACGCTGGCATCCAATGCGTGAGCACTGTAGCGGGGTTCTTGAGAATATGGCAGAGTCAGGGTATTGGAGACAGGTAAGACTGAGTCATGCTTCTAACATAGCCCTTTGTTCATTAAAATCCTAGGAGATATTTGTTAAATGAATGAATGTCAAAATATCCCTACCTTAGTTTGCCCTCAAGCGTGGGCTAAGGATATCTTGATGGGGGAGGCATTTTCTGGGGACTGAACCCCAGGGCACACTAGGCAAGCACTCTACTACAGAGCTACATCTCCGGCTCTGACACCCTTGCCCTGAAAATGAGTCTGGGTAAGTCAGTACAGTTTGTAGTGGAGTTTTAAAGAGAAAATTGTGATGTAAGGTGGAAAACAATTTTAAAAAGAACTGGAACCGTCTGGAAGTCCCAGTGGTCCTCTTGTGTGACTTCAACGGTCTGTGCTTCCTGCCTCTGCTCTCAGGAATCATGGTGAAGATGAAGGCAGGGCAGCAGATAAGGACATGTGGGGGCAGGAGCGAAGTAGAGAACCTGTCAGTTACTGGAGAGCCCTCTGTGGAGCCCCAACTTGGGCTTTATCCAAGTACCAATGTATTGAGAACGTGTATGGGAGGCTCCAGGGCAAGCAGGCAGGGGAGAGGGCAGTTAGGGACCAGCCCCACTATCTAGGAGATGACTTGGAGAAAGGGTCCAGCCCTCTGGGCAGGGACCAGCCCTGAGGCTCAAGTAAACTTGCATAGACGTGTGTGTGTGTGTGTGTGTGTGTGTGTGTGTGTGTGTGTGTCCGTATGTCTGTCTGTCTGAGGGATGGAAAGAAAACTTCTCTACTTCTCTCTGGAAAGAACATGGTCTGTCATGCTTGGGTGAAGCTGTGGTCCTTCCCAGAAGCTTAGTGACCTTGCAGTGTGGGTGTGGGGGCTGGACATCCTTGGGAAGCCCTGAGGGGCTGCTGAAGCAGAGTTCCTGGTCTCCTTGGAGGCTGGGCCTCCCTTTCCTGGGGACTCACAGAAAGTCAAAGAGCCCGAAATTCTTGGCTGCTCCAGGCCCAGGGAAATTTGAAGGAAGAAAAAGAAGAAAAAATGTTTCAGGCCTAGAAATTAGATGAGCCTGTTGGTTAGTAGGGTTAAATCTGCGGGAACCAGCACACAGGACAGGCATGGATGGGGGTTCAGACCCAGCAGATATTCCCTGGCACCAGGGGGGTGGCTCTCTGGGCTTCTGATTGGGGCTGGGTCCAAGAAGGGACAGACAGCATGGATGCCTACTAGAGGTGGCTACAGCTGTAGGGTGAAGGACTAAAGCCATGGACGGGGCAGTTAGGAAGGGAAAGGCCGTTTTTTGGTGTCAGTATAGTGGGGTAAAATCAAGATCTCTGTATACATGCTTGAGGAGGTAGGCAAAAGGGTTTGGACGGGGAGTGGGAATGAGGGTGTGACACCACTGGGGTCGGCTCCTAAATATGAGGGTGGAGCACCAGGAAGTAAGACCAGCAGTGCAGAGCAAGGGATATGAAAAATCCTGGGAAGCCGGAACCGGGTGGAATAGGTGTTGGTTAGTGGGCAGAAGCACCAGCTGGGACAGAGGCAGGTTAGGGGGCTGTAGCATGGATGAGTAGAGACCCCTCATCCTTGCTGCTACCAGCAAGCAGTAGCAGTTAGTTCCATTTATTTCCCTTTTAGGTACCAAAGTAAAAAAAGACCGACTGATGGAGAAAGGGATGCAGCCGGCTCAGGGGGTGGGAGCGGGAGAGGGGCCCTGATCACATCACATCCACAAAGAACTCACTGGGGTTTCCCATTGCCATGCGGAAGGACTGTCTGCTGGCCGTCAGTTCCGGGGGCACCGAGGCCAGGTCACGGCCTGGAGGGGCTCCTGGGGGCCCCATGGCTGCAGGTGGTGGGGTCATCATAAGCATCGGGGGACCATATAGAGGGGGCACTCCGGGCGGGCCATAGCTCGGGTGTGTGTGGTGGCTGCGCAGGCTGCTGGTCAGCGAATGGTGGCTGCGGTGACTGTGCTCGCTGGCTGCTGGGCCTGAGCGCTCACTTGGCGCCCGCTCCCGTGGACCTCTCAGACTGCTGCGTGTAGTGTGGTCTGACTCGCTGCCACTACCACCTGATTTGGAGTCCCCAGCTTTTGGGTCCTTCTCCTTGCGCCGGTCGCTGCCACTTCTGTTGGAGCCACTGCTTCGACTGCCTGTAGGGAACAAACAGGGCCAGGGTGGAGACACAGAGGTGGCTTGGGTTCCCTGCAGATGCCTTCTGGCTGATTCTCTGACTTACCTTCACTGTGTTGACTGCTGGCGCTACCCCCACCGTAGCTGTAGCCCAGTTCTGGGAAGCCTGGGTGTGGATTGTAGGGATGCGGAGGTGGTGGGTACTGGTAAGGGAAAGCCATAGGCCAAGGGGCAGCCCCTGGGTGCGGCAAAGGAGCCAGGGTGTCCTGGTCAGAGGCGCCGCTGGAGCCATCATGGTCGTGAAGTGACAGGTTGGCCATGTCTGTGGGAAGAGTACTTGGTAAACTAGTCTATTTTGTGTCCCACGCCCACAATCAGGAGGTGTCCAGCCAAAGATAGACTGCAGGCAAGAGTGTTAAGTTTATGGCCAGAATGGAAGGCTTGCAGATCTCTTTGGCCACTCCCAATAGCTCTACAGCCAATCCCCACATCTAATTCCCAATGCCTCACGGTCCCACTAAGTTCCAGGAAGGCTGAGCCAAGAGACCTGATATAAATTCAAGCCCAACCTGGGCTAAATGGTAAGTTTGAAGCTAGCCTGGGCTCCATTATCAGACAGTTTAAAAAAAAAGTGAAAAATGAAAGGGAAGGAGAAGGGAACTGGGATTGTCATGTAAATCAATCTTGTTTCTAATTCAAATAAAAAAATGACAAAAAAAAAAGTAAAAAATGAAAACTCCAAAATGAAACTGGCACCCTCACGCAGACAAAACACCAATCCAATTCACATCAAAACAAAACAAAACAAAAACAAAAACAAGAACAAACTGAACCAAACACACTATTCAGCAAATCACAAAGGGGTAATCATCACTTCTCTAGGTGAGGAAACAAAAGTCCTGAGGTTAAATGAGCAGCCTGAGTTAACCTAAACTAGACAGAACAGAAACAAAGAGCTATTGTACACTCACCTTCCCAGATAAATCAGGAGGGGGATATTTGGAAAAGTGAGGTCAATGCCCTCCAATAATAATAATAATAATAGTAATAATGGTAATAATAATAATAAGTCCAGAATGAAGCTGGAAAGATAGCTCAGTAGTTAAGAGCACTTGCTGCTCTGGCAGATCTGGGTTTGATTCCCAGCACACGTATGGTGGTTCACAACCATCTGTAACTACAGTTCAGCAACTTCTGATCTTCCTGGGCATTGCATGCACATGGTGCATAGACATACATGTAGGCAAAGGACTCTCATACACAACAAAATAAAAATAATTCTTAAAAATAAAAGTTCAGGGGGCTGGAGAGATGGCTCAGAGGTTAAGAGCCCCAACTGCTCTTCCAGAGGTCCTGAGTTCAATTCCCAGCAACCACATGGTGGCTCACAGCAATCTCTTATGAGATTAGGTACCCTCTTCTGGTGTGCAGATATACATGGAAGCAGAATGCTGTATACATAATAAATAAAACCTTTAAAAATAAATAAATAAAAGTTCAAAATGGGTGTGGTAGCCCACTTCTTTAATCCCAGCACTCTGTGGAGGCAGAGGCAGGCAGATCTCTGAGACTTCAAGACTAGCTTGGTGTACACAGTAAGTTCCAGGACAGCCAGAGCTATGTAGTAAGACCCTGTCTCAAAAGAGGAGGAGGAGTTCAGAATTGGTTGTGTGGGAGGGGTGCACCGGTATCATTCCAGCAGGATTGAGAGGTCAGCCAACCCAATACACAGAAATAGGAGGAGGTAAATTAAATGAGAAAGAAGAGGTGGCAGAATCCTAAATGAACACAATGGTTTTTAGGGCCTCTTTTGTAGAAGGCTCTTGCCCTGATCACATTTTCCTGGTGCTGTTGTGGAGAGTGGGATGCAAAGGAAGGGTTAAAAAGAACTCCCTACCCGGGGCTGGAGAGATGGCTCAGCGGTTAAGAGCACTGACTGTTCTTCCAGAGGTCCTGAGTTCAATTGCCAGCAACCACATGGTGGCTCACAACCACCTTGAATGAGATCTGGTGCCCTCTGCTGGTATGCAGGCAGAAGACTGTATACATAATAAAATCTTTAAAAAAGAAACAAAAAAACAAAAACAAAAACTCCCCACCCAGCTTGCAGCCAAAAAGGGCACCAGCTGATCATCACTACTTCCTGACTTTCTTCTATCCTTGAAATTGTGCACTTCCTAAAGGTAAGCTGTGCTCACAAGAGCTAGAACTTCCTTGAAGGGACTAGAAAGGGCAACTAGGGCTGATTACCAGCCTAGGGCATCCTTTGCTCATGTGCACCTGAATTCTAAGAAAGCTGTAATATAGGGGCTATATCTATATCATTACATCTTCTTTCAAGGCCCAAGGTAATCCAGCTGGGTCTTCAGGAAGAAGCCAGGCTATGGGGCTCTGAATCACTTATGGAGCCTGACAGCTGAGCCACTAACTTGTCCAGAGGCCAATGGCAGCAGTGCAGGCAAAAGAGAGCAGTGGCCTGTACTGGCTCAAATGCAAAAAGCTCTTGATGTCTTTAGCCTGTAGGGTGCTGTCCTAAGGACCAACAGTATACTCCAGGCAGGGTGAGCACACAGTTCCTCTTTGAGTCTAACACATTCCCAGCTCAGCAGACTGTGACCTCTGAGGATGGACAAAGGCTTTTCTGTCAGCACAGCCTGGGCTGAGCCTTGGGTGGCCTTGGTAGAAGACCCAGTTGGGCCCAGGAAGAAAACATCTTTTGAGCAAAACTGCCATAGCTGTCTTGGAAGCTTTGTATGTCCCAAGAGATCTGGGGCCCTGTCTGCTAACAATATCAATAATAACCAGTTTCTTTGAGTTTACTAAACAATTGATGGAAGAAAGACCCAATTTCAGATAATGGGATGAGAAAAAAAGTGTTCCTTATAATCAATTAAATATATGAACAGCATGCCTTTAATCCTAGCGCTCGGGAGGCAGAGACAATTAGATCTCTGTGAGTTTGAGTCCAGCCTGGTCTACAGAGTGAGTTATAGGACAGCCTCCAAAGCTATAGAGAAACCCTGTCTCGAAAAACAAAAACAACAAATATATGTACATACATACATACATACATACATACATACATACATACATACATACACAGGCACGCGCGCACACGTGCATACATACAGTAGGCAACTTTGTTTTTGGTTTTTCAAGACAGGGTTTCTCTGTGTAGCCTTGTTGTATTGGAACTCACTCTGTAGACCAGGCTGGCCTTGAACTCACAGAGATCTGCCTGCCTCTGCCTCCCGAGTACTAGGATTAAAGGTGTGCACCACCACCACTGGGCTAGGGTAGCCTATTTTACACCAATATTTCTATTTCCTCATTTGATAACATGGACAGTACCCACCCCCCACCCCACCTAGAAGTGAAGACTGAGTGGGATGGTAGGATGACAATTTAGAAACCACTGGCACCTGTCAAGCACCAAACAGGCTCAACAGAGAGAAGACCAAGGAGGAGGCTAGACTGGGCTGCTTATATTAGAAGGCCTTCCAGCTTTGAACCAGACCCCAGCACTGTTGAGCCTCCCTAGGTTTCCTGGGGTCAGCTATCATATCACATATCACATCCTTACTCTCATCTAGGAGACAAGAAGGTGGAGGATGCTGTGTGTGGTAGTGGCATGCACTTGTAATCCAACACTCAGGAGGCTGAGGCAGGAGGATTTCTGCAAGTTCAAAGTCCAGCTGGCTACACAGCAGTATTAGGTTAGTATAATCTACATAGCAAGGCCCTGTCTCAAAAAAGGGGGGGGACCCCAAAGGTGGTAGGGAGGCACGTACTGCCACAGAGGTCACCAAAGATATAGTAGCACTGTTCAGAGAAGGTGATTTTGTTGACAGTATGGCGGATGAAACCAGCTTTCAGCAGGTTGCTGGCGTACTTCCGGGCCTCCCGCCGGTCCGTGAATCCTTCCACGTTGTGGTACAGCCAGTCCACCACATCTGAGCCTGGGGATAAGGCCATTAGTTGATTTGGGTTCCTCTGGCTTCACAGAAGCTTGGAGGCTGGGGCAATTAACAGCTCAAAGGAGTAGCCCAAGGGGGAGGTTGGGTCCCCGACCCCTGCCCTGCTCCATGACTCCCCACCCCAGGCTCTCTCACCAATGAAAGCATTGGGAATGGTAATCTTGAGCCACATGCGGTCTCGAACCTCCAACCCTGATTCAGGGGAGGCCATGGCTTTTACGATGGCTGCCATGTCACTGTGGATGGAGAGGTGGAAGTCATCTAGGCCTGGGGGGAAGAGGCAGAGCAGTGATGAGGCAAAGAGGAGCCATGGAGTTAGAAGATAAGAAAGGTGTCCCAGCTCTCCCACTCAACAATGACAAGCCCAATGTTGACTTCTCGGACAGTTTTCCCTTCTGGAAATGTTTTAATGTCTACACAAGGCTATGTGAAAGAATAATTCAATGATTTCATGGAGGCCCTTAGCACGGTATAGATGTACATGCTATGACAATAAAAATGAGTGTTTGCTTCATGCCACACAGTAATAGCATTCTACTTAAACCCTCGTATTAAATACCACAAGAACCTGGTGAAGTACATACTGGTAGTCCCATTGTAGGAGAGGAAGCTCAGGCTCTGTGGGCACTCACCATACTTGAGGAAGCAAACAACATTCAGGGCAGCTCTAAGTGCCCATTGGGGAAGGGCTGCAGTGGGAGGTGTTTGGAATGAGTAGAGCCCCTCAAAGGCCCTCCGTGGTGCACAGTGGGTCATCAGTCATCCTGCCTGGCCTTGTCTGCTGGGCCCCAGGGACAGGCTTGAATACTCACGTTCTGTGTCAGGGATGGAGCTGGTGATGGAGGAGCTAGTGGAGGTGATGGTACTCAGGGAGGGGCTCATGCCATAGGCAGGGAAGGTGCCTGTCATGGCTGCAGTGTGAGAGACCCAGGCTGCTGGGTCGATGGGCCGGATGGGCTCACCTGCAAGGAGGATGAGGAGTCACAGGCTGCCCACCCTGCCTACTATGGTGCTCAACAGAGTTGACATATACCAACATCAACTTTAAGGCTGAATCCCTTGTCTACTTACTCCGCGGTAATGTGAAGCAGCCACGTGGACTTGGGTCCCAGCACTTGGCTACAGTCAGAGTGATGGGCCTGAAAACAAGGTTGTCCTAGTAAAGGCAGGATGTATGAAAGCCAGACCAAGCCTCCTTCCAGAAATGCCTCCCCATCTTCCCCAAAATCCCATTCCACTCATACCCTGGTTTGTGTACAATCTCCCGAAGTACTCGGACGGCATCGTCATTACTCATGTTCTCAAAATTGATCTCATTCACCTGAGAAAGAGGGCAGGGAATGAGATAATAGGTAGGCGCTCAGGAGATGGATAGGGGAGCTGGGTTTAGGGTCTTCTTCCAGAGAGCAGGGACTTCTCACTATCCTACCACCCAGGTAGACAATACCTGTAACAGCATATCTCCTGGTTCAATGCGTCCATCGGCTGCCACAGCCCCACCCTTCATGATGGAGCCAATGTAGATGCCTCCATCACCTCGCTCGTTGCTTTGGCCCACAATGGAGATGCCCAAGAAGTTATACTTTTCTGCAGGGAATGATTTAACATCTTGAGAAGGGCAGGGCCCCTACCCATTAGTACAAGGCAGATTTCCAGCCCCTTATTCGTATGGGGTACAAAGAGGCCATAACTGACATACTAACTGTGTAAATATTACCGTACAGTGTACATTTAAACATGCCTTCCTACTGGTTATGAGGCAGGGACTCCAGACTTATTTTACAGATCAGCAAGACCTAAGTGCCCTTCCTAAGCAGTAGGTGGCGGGAGTTAAAACTCAGACTTGTTAAGCTCTTTTTTTTTTAAACTGCCTTTAACATTTTTATCTGTTTTGTTATGGAGTTCACTCTTTTGTATTTGTGTGTGTGCAAGTCAGAGGTCAGCTTGTGGGAGTCAGTTTTCTCCTTCTACCATGTGGGTTCTGGGGACTGAAGTCTGTTATCAGGCTCAGTGGCGGGACCACCTGCTGAGCCACCAGGCACCAGCTGTCTTGTAAAGGGTCAGAAGTCAGAGAGTTAAGGATGCAATGACAAGATGAGCAGGGCCAAGGCTCTCAGAAATCACCTCCCCCAGAAAACCTCCCAGGTCACACAGTTCTCTGTGTTTCTCTGTTATAGCCCTGACAATGAAATACCGAAATAATTATGTCAGTATTTATAAAAAAGCAACAGGAGAGCAAGAAACACATATTTTTCTTCCTGTATTGGATACAGGACCCTGGGCCTTATACTCTGCCACTGAGATCCCACCCTGGACCCCAGAAAATGTATGTTGTGCTTCCCAGAAACCCCTTCTGCCTTCCCAGCAGAGGCTCTTCAATGTGTTCAGCAGACTCACCCATGTTGAGAGTAACTGTGATGATATTGAGAGACATAGTGGAGTCTGTGATGCTGCTGAAGGACGAAGACTGGAAGAGACAGTAGCTGTGAGCAGCAGGCAGGGGTGGGCGTGCCCATCTGGTTCTTGCTCAACCCACTACCCTCACCCACTAAGATTTCAAACACTAAACCAAACAGAGGGCTCTGAGGAAGAGCTCTGGTCCTGCCCAGAAAGGACTCATTATCTGCCCTGCTCAGCTCGAGAGTCCATACCCGCTCAATCCGAGAGACCTTCTGCTTCCGCCGCCGCCGCTTGTGTCTCCTCATTAGGCGCGAGGCACTGCTCTGTTCTGTGGAGCTGCTGAACCTGTGGGGCCCAAAGTCGTTCCCCACCAGGCTGGCCCATCCTGGCCCCGAAAGAGGCACTGCACAGCCCTGGTCCCAACACAATGCCCACGTCCCGTCCCTCCCCCCCAGAGGTGAAGCATCAGCAGAATCAGGCTTCCTCATGGGTCACTTGTCCCTTTCACTCCCACCCCAGGACCTATGGAAGTCAAGCCCCACCTGCTGGTGGAGTCGTCCTCATCTGAGTCAAAGAAGCTGGTAGTCTCCAGCTCACTGCTCATAAGGGTAGATGAACTGTCATAGCCACCTGGCTCTCGCCTCCGCTCCCCCTTCGCAGTTCCATTGAGCCGGGCTGCTGCAAGGCCCAAAGTAGGGGAGAAAGGGTATGAGGCGGGCAGGCCAGGGGCTGATCAGGGGCCAGGCATATCCGTAACTAAGGAAATAGGGTAAAGAGGCAGGGAGCTGGCTGCAAGCTGCAGGAGGGGGTTGTAGGTGGAAAATACACACCGTGCTCTGGGCCATCCCTCCGACGGGGACGCTCTCGTTGGGCAGACACCAAGGAGTCAGTCTCCGTGTCATTGTCCAGGTTTTCTTGGCTGCCTCCACTAGCATGAGGGCTAAAGGGTAGAGAAGAATTGGTGGAGATGAGAACAGGCTGTGGGGGCTCCCTTCCCCAGCTCTGGGTTGAGCTGAGGTCCCCCTTCCCCAGGCCATTCCACCTTTAAGTCACACTTACTGAAAGGATGGGGGTCGAGAGTCCCCAATGCCTCCTGTGCGCTCCATTGAAGGTGGCAGCTCTGATGGGTTGTCAGCACAGAATGGGGCTGGCTCTGGGTGGGAACCCTCAGCAGATACCAGCTGCCAAGAAAATGAGTGATCACAGGGGTGCCAAGGAAAAGCAAGATGTTGCTTTCAGCAGCAGGACGTGAAAGCCTGGAGAGTGAGGCTGAGAAGACTGGCCCATGCAAGGGCAGTTGGCCAGGTGCATGAGGGAGACGGGCTGGCAGGCATGGGCAGCAGAGTCCGGGCACAGCACAGAGGATGCCCACTGGCAGTAGGTGTCTGGATGGACATAGAAGACCTCTGAATTTCTATCCTGTGCTCCTGTTTCTCCCCTCTCTTCCTCCCACTATTCTCTCACATATCATTAAAGACTGCAAACTCTAGGAAATCATTAGAAAACTAAAGGCAGATTCAGATACAGAGGCATAAAATCACTAGCTACAACCTTAACTAAGCTGTCCCTCCCTCTAGCCAGCACAGGAATACAGCTGGAGGCTGATGGCTCCTTACCCAGGACACCACCCGACCATTGAAGCAGGGCAGCTTGGCATTGTCGTCTGAGATCTCTTCCTTCACCACTCTGCAGGGAAAGGGGGATGTCAGTGAGAACTTTCTGAAGTAGAAATGCAGGATCTCCATAACCTGAGTAGTCCTAAGTGTGAGATCAAGCCATCAACACAAGACTGACTGTTCAGCTGTGAGGAGGGGCTAGGGACATATCCTTAGCACCTCCAAGAAGTAGGACAGAGAAGAAGGAGCTTCGGGGAGGAGTCACAAGTCGGGAACACACACTGCTCTCTGGGCCACCCCTCTCGCAGGGCCATATCTGGGCCAACTGACTTGCTAGAGCACCGACTTGGCCATCAGGAGACTGGAAACTATAACGGCCCCACACCACACCTCAGAACCTCCAGAGCACTTGTGCTGTTCCCAGCATCCCTCTGACCTTTGACTGGGAAAAGGCACCGCAACTCTTACTGTTCTTCACTTCTCAGCTAGGAATCCTGACTTTGTTCTGACAGCCGTGGGCAAGGAGTTTAAGGAAGTAGGAAAGAGGAGAGAAGGCCTTCATAAGCATCTATGTGGTACATATCTATAATCCCAGTCAACACTTAGGAGGCGGAGGCAGGCAGATTATGAGGTGAGCCTGGGTAACATGAGATTCTGTCACAATAAGGAAGAGGCCGAAGATGTAGCTCAGACAGCAGAATGCTTGCGTAGCATTCACAATGCCATTCGACTGGGTATGGCTGTGCGTGCCTGTAATCCAGAACTAGAGAGGCGGAGGCAGGAGGATCAGTTTAAGGTCATCCTTAGCTTCAGAGTGAGTTTGAGGCCAGCTTGGGACACATGAGGACCTTCAACACCCACCCCCTCCAATGAAGAAACACTCCACAAACAAGTAGAAAGCTGGTGTTTGAATCCCAAACTATGTGACTCTGCATTTTTATCTATTATGTCGTCTATTACTATAGAACATATAATTTTACCTCGCTCCCAAAAAAGCTGGATGGTTGTGGCACACACCTTTAATCCCAGCGCTTGAAAGGCAGAGCAGGAAGATCTCTGAGTTCAAGGCCAGCCTGGTCTACAGAGTAAGTTCCAGGACAGCCAGGGATACACAGAGAGACCCTGCCTCAAAAAGAAGTGTGTATGCATATGTAAAAATATATAATTAGGTAGACAATATAATTTTCATTTCAAGAATTAAGAAACTGACATTCATGGCTACAATTGAACCCCAGGCTATTTCTGACTTCTATTCTCTTTTCGATCTTGTCACATTTTTTTTCCCATTTGATGATAGATGTAATGGGTCTGTGAGGGGTGGGGGAAAATAATTTGGGGCATGAGGGACCACAGAAAGTGGTCATGACATGCAGTTTGGCTTTGGGAATGTGATAGGGCCAGGAGTTAGATACCAACTGTCCTTAGTAGTTCTCCCAGCTTAGAGATATCTTTTAGCTTATCCAAACCTTTGCCTTATCCTGTTAAACAAGATCCTTAGAATATAACAAAAATTATATTCTAGTTTTAGTAAGATTATCTCTAGTTTTAGTAAGATCCACACTCTCTCATTAAATGTAAGCCCCCCTTTAAGATTTTTATTACGTGTGTGTGTGTGTGTGTGTGTGTGTGTGTGTGTGTGTGTGCGCGCGCACACACAGGTGTATGGAGGTCAGAGGACAACTTGTGGAAGTTGGATTTTTCCTTCCACCATGTGTCCTGGGGCTAGAGCCCAGATCATCAGGCTTCACCAAGGCAAGGCCTTGACTGGATCTCCCAAGTAATTTAAGAGAGTTAAGTCCGCCTGGAGCTTGAGAAATATTTTTGGAGATCAGATGGGAGTGGGGACTCCAGTTCAGAACCTCTGAAGCTAAGGTATAGCAAGCTTCCTCCTCTGACATGCTTTCTTCTCAACAGGGGTCACTGGCCTGGGCTGGCTGGGACACCCTGTTACTTTCCCAGCATGCCAATGTAGTATCTTTTTGAAGAGGAAAAGTTACAAAATGGTCATTTACATAGTATTCCTCACTATTATGTCTCCCTCCTCTCTCTGGCTGTTTCTCTCTGATACACACACCCACACACATGCCCCCACAGTGGTAGGATCAAGACTTTAGATTTTGGAGTGAGATTTCCCCCATACTAGCCAATCTCTGTTATTTACCAGTTGTGACATAGAGCAAACTAGGCTTTTTGCATTCTTGTTTCCACATTTGCAAAGTGGGGGGTATTAGTGCCTGTTTCACAGGCTGGTATGAGGATTCAGAGATGAAAGATGTGCAAAGAATGACATCACTCGCCAGGTGTTGGTGGCGCAGGCCTTTAATCCCAGCCCTCGGGAGGCAGAGGCAGGCAGATCTCTGTGAGTTCGAGGCCAGCCTGGTCTCCAGAGCGAGTGCCAGGATAGGCTCCAAAGCTACACAGAGAAACCCTGTCTCGAAAAACCAAAAAAAAAAAAAAAAAAAAAAGAAAAGAAAAAAAGAATAAAAGAATGACATCACTCTCAGGCAGACGGTAAGTACCAGAAGATGAGCTTGTAAAATTAAAAAAAAAAAAAAATGAAATAAACTGTGAACAGGATCCTTGCTATTAGTCCTCTGTAATAGGAGAGCCCTACTGGGTCTTTTGCTCATTTATCATTGGGGTGTGTGTGTTGGGGGGGAGGAGATGAACAAACCAATTAATCACATCCACTTCATTCTTAGCATTGTTCTCAACCCTGCTAGAACAGCCAACTGATATTTTGCAAAGGAACATGGATGGATAAGATGGCTTCTGGTGGCACATGATAAACGTTGCTTAGTTGAATAGTTTAATATTTATTTGTAACATGATTTAGAAATAAATAGAAACAGATAATCAGGCCTGTAGTTGATATCACATTATTAGTTTAGTCAGCTAAGAAAAAAGAGTGGACAGTTGATTTAAAGAAAAATATTCTGTGAACAGTGAGCAGATGCAATGGGAGGCCTTTTATAATTGTAGTTAGGCCTGCTCGCACAACCTTGGGAAGGCAGGAAGCAGCCCACAGTGGTCTGCTTGGGAGGCAGAGGCAAGTGGGGGTGGAGATACAGGACTATTCTAATCTCTCAAGGCATCTGGCCCAGCATACCCTGAAATATTATCCCAGTTCCTTCAGGCCCTGCTCTCCTTGTTTCTCTCAAGCCAGGTTGAGACATCCACCCCCTATCCCCAACTCTTCCAGACAGATCCCAAAAGATCTTTCAAACAGGTATGCCTACTCTAAAGACAGACAGTCATACCACACTGGAGTCCTCATCCCAGGCCAAGAATGGAATCAGGAATAGTCAGATCTATTCTTCACTGTACAAAACACTGCCACACACAATATTTCAAGAGCCCATCAAATGCTGAGTTCCAGTGCAGAAGATGGCAAATAAGCCAGGCAGGAGACAGAAGGTGCTTGCCTCCTGGGGCTTGGAGGGCGGGCCTTGGGAGAGAAGCCAGACTAATGAACACTGGGGAGAAGAATGTCTCCCCTCACCCAGCTCTGGGGCCTCAGCTGCAAGCACAGTGCAGGCCTCAGGCAAGAGCATCAGAGGGACCTTCAGACCTGGAGGGCCCAGAAGAGGAGTGTGAGTGTGTGTGTGTGTGTGTGTTCTCCATGGCCTCTAGGCCCACTGTCCAGTTAATGTGGTCAAGCCTCAGCCCCTGGGAGAGGGTGTGTGTGTGTGTGTGTGTGTGTGTGTGTGTGTGTGTGCCTGGCCCAGCCAGATACCTTGGTACCCCATCGGGCCAAGGCCAGCGTGTGTGTGTGTGTGTGTGTGTGTGTGTGTGTGTGTGTGTGTGTGTGTCCCCTCTCAGGCCAGCGTGCCAGCTGCTACAGAACCCTCAGGCTCCAACATTCCAACCTCTCTTAAAGGGGCAGTCCCTGCTTCCAAACTGCAGCAGGGTAGGGAGGGGAAGACAAGAGAACACAAATAGGCCCTTCCTGGCCTTCCAGCCAGGCTCTGAAGCCCTATGCAACATCTCCTCTGGGATCACCATCTGGCGAGAAAATGCCCCAGCACCTGGTTAGTGAGGACTCCTCCTCCGGGTCAGACAACACCAGGTCAGACCAGGGAAGAGGGGAGACAGCTCAATAAACATCATGTCCAGCATCTAGCCTGGCAGAACCCCCACCCCCCACCCCCCAACTCCTCCAGTTCAAAGTCCCACCGGCTGCGGCCGTGGATACAGCACACTCCAAATAAGGCTCTGACTTGCAGAGCTCAGAGGATGGGGAAGGCAGGCTGGGTGTCAATATACCCCAACTCTATGTTTAAAAGGTGGCACCTGGAAGGAGGGCTGAGGGCTCTCTGACTTTGGATTGGCGTGGAAAGGATGTACGTCTATGGGGGCCGCTGATCCGCGGCGAGTGAGGCGGCTTGGATGGCAGGGACCGATTTTTTTTAGGGTCCCGCTGGACTAGGGGCGGGCAAGGCCTCCAAGAGGTGATCGGGTGTCTATTGGGTCCCAAGTGACCAAGTCGCTCCCTTGCTGCAAGCGGGACTAGAAACCAGTGCAGCAAGGGAAGTCCGAACTGGCCGCGTTGGCCCCAGCAGAGGCTCCCTGGAGGCGGGGCGGGGGCCATCCTCACCCAAAATCGTCGTCCATAGACTTGAAGAAGAACTTATAGCTGGGCCGCTGCAGAACGCCCTTAAAGTCCGCCAAGGTGACGCGCTCGGCGGGCAGGGGCAGCTTCACCAGGTACGGCGTCTCCTGGCCGTCCAGGTGGTAGATGATCTTGGTC